TGGCATGAATGTATTATCCTTGTACAAGCACAGTTTATAAAATTGGAGTGTTTGTTTTTTTTAATGCATTATCCCTGCGCAAGCATGGTTTATAGCACTGGAGTGTTTGTTTTTAAAAATGCATTTTCCCTTTTAAATAGTGTCTTGGTTTAAATGCATTATCCTTGTACAAGTATGTTTTATAGCACTGGAGTGTTTGTTTTTTTTCTAAAGCTTGCAATGGTTTATCATTTATGCTTAAGCATTGAAGTGTTTGTTGTAAAAAAAATATTTTCTTGTGTGTTGCATACGGCCAATACCCTAACATATTTTGAATTTTTTTATATAAAAAAATATTGAAAGTTTCAAAAAATGTGTTTTTATATGGATTTCTTAAACATAACAAAAATTATTTTCTTGCATTTCTGAATTTTACAACATGTTTGTAAAACTCCAAAGGGTATTGATCAATATTCTAAAAAATAAAAAATCTTATTTTTTTTTTGGGGGGGGGGAGGGAAAATTCATCTATTAATTTATCATTAATGTTTGGATAAAGAAATCCCAAAAGGATAAATATCTAAAATATTATTGGGAATAACTTGTTATTATTCACTATTGATATTTGGATAAAAAAACCATAAGTGAAAAACATCCAAAATAATTTTATAAGAATAATAAGTTATCATACATCCTTGAAAAAAGTATTGATTATAATCGAGGATATTTTAATTTGTTTTTACTCCACGATTTACGAGCCGTGAGAGTATAAAACATTTAGGCAAAAATAGGCTTTTAAAGCACCCTAGATTTTTAAATTTTTATCCTTACTCCTTGCAATTTACAAGTCGCAGACTATTAAAATACTAAGAAAAAAAATGAGTTTTTAAAGCATATGAAATTTCCTTGGATTTCTATCTTAATAAATTTAGCTTGAATCAAAACTTAGAAAAACTAATGGAATTAGAAAACACCAACACCATAGAAATTATAAAGCAAACCAAACACCAAGCAGTTTACTTTAAGTAGGGCGTACTAGGGGTGTCAATACATTTCCTTTACGCAATCAGTCCCTTACTTTAGAATCTCCATAAATTAAAAACAATGACCTCGAAATCAATTGAGGGTCGTCAGGACGCCGTGCTCCGCTCGCGAGTGTGCAACAATATATATTAAAAAAAATTTAAAATTTCAAAAATTATGATTTTCTCACATATTTTTCTACCAATTTTGTATAATATCGGGTATTATATTTACACTGTAAAATACAAATCTGGTATTAAAATATTGGTTTTCTCTAAAATATTTTAAAAAAAATAATTTCAAAACATTTGCAAAAAACCAAAAAAATATCTTGTTGCATACGGTCAAATCCTGAAATTTTTTCAAGCATATTGTTCATAAAAAAACAAAAATTATATCGTTTTCATGTTTAAAAAATCCAAAACTAACCAATTTTATAATTCAATAGCATTTGGCCAAAATATTAAAAACCTTTTTCCAATCATTTTTTTTAGGGTCGAGAATGAGATTTTAATATCTGTGAGGTGTAAAATTATATGATAAAACACACCTTTTAGTATTTAAGATACAAGGTGTAAAAAATACGATGCTAAAATTTAAAATTTAAAATGGTGGGATTTAACCCGATAAGGTAGAAACTTTCTCATGAAAAGAGATCTACCTTGAATCTTAAAAAATTAGTCATTTAACAAGCAAAGTATTAAAGAGTGAACAAGATAACAAATATAAAACATGTTAGTATCAAACATTAAAGTCCATATTAAGTTTACATTATACTTATTCTTACACCATTAGTGTAACCTTTTCACCTTGACATAATTAACTTAGCTAGACATAATGAAAGAAAGCAAAATAGATAAACAAAATAAGAACATAAAAGTTAACTAAGTAAAGGAAAGGAAATGAAAGGCATAAACTTAATATTAATGAAAACAAAGCATAAAAAATACAAAGAGAGAAAGGAAGAGCATGATCTTGATCTGGAAACCAAGATGCCTAAATGCATGGCAAATGCCTCCTTTTATAGGCCAAAAATGGGAACTATTGATTTGATGACTAATTGATAAGTGGGTGACCAACTTTTGACTTGGTGACAATCCTTATCTTCTCTTGTCTGCCCAAAACGTCATTGATAACGTCAAAATTGGAGCCAGTTGCAAACATGAAAGTTGTAGGCAATTGTCTCAGCTTTCTTGTGTAAAACATTCAGCTCATTTGGACTTCTAGAACTCCAGATATGATCAAAATACTGAATAGTGCTCGGATCGGGCTTCTTTGTTGTTTCTACAATTTGGACTTGATAATGGCCTTTTTAGATCTTGGGCTCCATATGAAAGTTGTAGGCCTATGTCTTACCTTTCCATCCATATAAATTGGACCTAAATCTGAGATCTGTAGCTCCAGATATGACCCAATTACCGAACAGTGTTCCGGTTTGGATTGCACCGACATCTCTTTTCTAAGTTTTGCCATCTCTTTATCCTTGCAATTTAAGTTCTTAAAGTCATCAGTCAATCCTTTCATTTATGTGATAGGCCTGCATTTAAAATGAACATTTACCACAAATTAAAGGTATCTTATATTATTAGATATATTATTATAAAACATGTTTTAGTTAAGGAGTTATTAATACTTCAAGTGCAAAATGATGATATAAAACCTTGGTAAAAATACACTTTTAAGTACTAATCAACTAACGAATGGAAACCCGACTTAAAAAAAAAAAATAAACAACAATGCAGTTTACCTTAGGTAGGGTAACCCGACTTAGAAAAAAAAATTCAGACTTTATAATGGTTAGGATTTAACTAAATAAGGTAAAAACTTTCTCATAAAAAGAGATTTGCCATGAATCTTAAAAAAGACTAACAAATAGAAATCTGACTTAAAAAAAAAATAATCAAACAACAATGCATATTACCTTAGGTAAAGTGCATTGAGGGTGATGCATATTTTTCTTGCACAACTAGTCTCTTATCCAGACTATTACATACTATAGATTTCTATTAACTATAATATTAGTAGCGATTTCTAAATATCAATCATAATTCTATGATTAAATTCAAAAAATCTTCCCAACACACCACACTTCACAAGAGTCATGATAAAAGCCTCCATCGTTGCCAAACAACGTCACGTCGCTCGCACCTTGTGACAGTTATTATGAAGATTTTTTTTTTTGGATTTTTTAAATAAAATTTATCAACATAATAAATAAAAAAGATAAATCTCTTTTTACTTTTAAAAAATACCTAAAGCTTATTTACAGTACAAGGAGAGAAGGAAAAAAAAGATAAATCTCTTTTTACTTTTAAAAAATACCTAAAGCTTATTTACACTACAAGGAGAGAAGGAAAAAGAGAGTTTGAATACCAAGTAAAGTTTGAATGACATTATACTATTTTTTTAAAAAAATATATTTTAAAAGAGAGTTTGAATACCAAGTAAAGTTTAAATGACATTATACTATTTTTTAAAAAAAAAAAAATTATTGAAAATATATAGAAATAATATTTTTTTTAATTTTTTAAAATTTATTTTTAATATTAAAGATCCAAAATTATATGAAATATTTAAAAAATTTAATTTAAAACAAAATAAATAAAAGAATTTTTATTTTAAAAAAACTTTTAAAAAAAGTTAACAAATAAATGCGGCATCACACTTTCCTTTAACAGACAGAATTATTAAGGAAACTCTGGATAAATAATCTATTTTCTAAAATTAGTAATAAATATGTCAACATCAGCCTTTCTCCATCAGCATCATCCATTTCAGTAGCTCGTTGGCAAAACAAGACGTAGGGCAAGATAGAAAATTCACCAACGCATAGCCAACATGTATATAAACAACCCTTTCAAAATCAAAGCCCTAATTTATCAAGCCACGACACTTCAAGGAAAGTGAAAGCTTCTGCCTTGGCGGCGCATGGCAACTCCTCAGCAGCAAGAAGACGACTCTGAAGATGACTTAGACCCCATCAAGATCCTCCTACCAGACAACCAAAACGGATTCTCTAAAATACAACATGACACACCAGCACAGGAAGTACAGCAGCATTACATCCATTCGATCAAGTCAACGGTGGTAATCAGACAACTCCCATCACAAGGTCTCTCCTTCCAGCTCTGGCCAGCAGCTACAACTCTCTTCAATCTCCTCGACAACCACAGCACCAGCCCCTTATCACCAATTCTTGATACAATATCCAACGGTTCTACTCATGGGGCTCTTAGGATTCTTGAACTGGGGTCAGGTACTGGGATTGTAGGAATTGCCGCAGCTGTGACGCTTGGTGCTAAGGTCACAGTCACAGACTTACCTCACGTGATACCCAACTTGCAATTCAACGTGGATGCTAACGCTGACGTGTTGGCTTCACGAGGTGGGGCTGTAAATGTTGCAGCTCTCAGGTGGGGAGAGGATGCTGACGTGGAGGCAGTGGGGAGGGAGTTTGATCTTGTGTTGGCATCCGACGTCGTCTATTACGATTACCTTTATAAGCCTTTGCTGAAAACACTGCGTTTGTTGATGATGGGCGAGGGTAAGAAGATGGTCTTTGTTATGGCTCATTTGAGGAGGTGGAAGAAGGATTCTGTGTTTTTCAAGAGGGCCAAGAAGGTTTTCAATGTTGAGGTTGTTCATGTGGATAGTCCGTGTGAAGGGTCTAGGATTGGTGTTGCTGTTTATCGCTTTGCCGCCAAGGCCCAAAGGTTGCCTGCTGGCTTAAATCGCTATTCTTTGTGATCAATGCCATCTTTGTTCAACAAGGAAATTCAAGATCTTTTGTTTTCTTGCCATTGAAATTCTATTTTTGCTACATAATTTCACTTGCCAAGCATAGGAAGGAAGAAAGAAAACAGATCAAGGAAAATTACCCTCTATTTTTGCTACATAATTTCACTTGCCATGCATAGGAAGGACGAAAGAAAACAGATCGAGGAAAATTACACGGTGCTATCAATTATCAAAACATCGAAGGAAGATCTTTGCACAACGGAAAATTACACGATGCTATCATTATCATATTGTCTCCCCTTATCAAAGCAAAACTCCCAGACGAAGGCGTGAAGAAAGAAACAAAAACAGATCATTCAACAAATACATCACTGTCAGAGTGAAGTCACACGACGCTACCATGTTTCAGGTGATGGGGAGATATATCTTTACATGGTCTCATGCCTCTCGCCAACAAATAGAAATATTATGCGGCAATTTTCACAAGCTTTTTCACAAGAAGACACCCTCAGTAAATCACAATACTCCAGTCAATAAATATGAATCATCTCAAGCCCTTTGAATTGCAAGCCGCCGCACATCTACACTTACCTACATTCACGACATAAAATATTACCAACCGGATGACAAGTCACCGTCCAATCACCTGAACCATTGCAGTTTCAAATCACGGGCAGGAGAAGACCAACAATAAGTTTAGATGTGCTCAAACTGATCAAAAGAAACTGTCATTCCCAAGCTTCGGTCGAAAAGGAATATTTTATTTAGCCACTGAAAAAATACCTCATCTCTTCCTTAGAGCTGAGCCCTTAGACACAGCTTTCATACTCTGCGAATCCTTAAAGCAAACAAAGTGAACAATTGCTTGACCATTGGGGTAGACCGCAAAAACACTCGTCCCGATTTTCTTGTTGCAAAGCGCACATGTAGTATCACTGGTAACCTTGACTACTGTTTTCCTACGGTTATACATTTCATCCTTCACCTGTATACATGATAATTTGTGAGGAAAATAGAATGGGTACAGATAGTTGTGCAAAGCACACCAGTAAAGAAAAGGTACCAATTGGAGAGGAAAAAAAAGAGGCGGTGGGGGGTGTATGAATGCATAAAAAAATACCCACCTAAGGTATATATCAAGACAATCACTTTGATTTGAGAATGAAATGTTTTAGTCATATTAGCTTCAGTTTGAAGATAATTGAACTTGCCTCTTACAGTGAACTTCGCTATAAAACTTGGTGTACAGTAAATTGCAAGGAATTATTGAATCTTGCACAGAAGTTGTGCAAATTGATGGTTTGATAATTATTGAGCAGGTTTTTATCCGTGTCAATTATGTTTATCTTTTCAACAGCCATACTAGCGAGTACTGATTCAAAAGGGTTACCCCATCATAAATATGGCCTCTATGACAGAAGTTACGATCAGTGCAAGCTAAATGCCATAATTCTTAGTGCTACTCTCATGTTTCATAAATAATCCTTTCCTTCAAGCTATTAAATCTTCTTATAGAAATACTGTGATTGGTTAGGATTCCTGGTGCAAATAATTTATACTAACACGTTCCCCCAGTTGAATGTGCATGCATTATACAGTGGATACCTGAAGGTTCTCACTCTGCCTCAAGCTTTTGATTACTGAGAGATTCCTGCATGTTTCACTGGATTTTTTCAGAAGAGGTCCAAGAAAGGGAAGCAAGTTCTGCAAAGGAATTAAAGCAAATAAATATTAATGGGAAGATCAAGATGGAATTGTTCAAGGTCTGTATGCTATTGCTGTTTATTCAGTACCTGTAATTTAGTTTCTTTTGGTAAGAGTTTGAGGGCCTGAGCTCCATTGATTCTGTCCCATCTTTTGCTCAACAGATCGAGGACCTCATCAAGCATAATAGTAGAACCCCCTTCCTCACCAAATTCATCTGTATCTCCATCACTCCTGCTACTGTCAGTGCCACTAAGACTGACTCGTATGTCTTCTGCACCCTCTATGGCAGCAATTTTCTTTGTAGCACGACCTCCTTTAGCTTTAACTAGGGTCCCAGAACTTATCTTGGGAATGTTAGTATTCTGTGGGGATAATAGATTTGTTATTCGCTTTTCAAAATTCTTGGTTGTCTTCTGGGGATTGAGGTAAATTTGCAAGAGAGTTAGGTACATATTGCCAGATGATTTTACAGATGGTGGATGAGCAGCAGACTCGTAGACACGGTCACAGTAGGATAATGCCAGATCAGGAACATGAAGCTGGAAAGGTAAAAGAACTTGTAAGAACTAACCTTGAATCAACAAAGCCTCAAATCCAAAATGAGTTGAGTTTGGGTAACTTTTTCAACCAATAACAATAAAAAGAATGAAGAATCGCATTATATGTATGTATGAACAAGGATCGTACACGTGATCTTTAATACAGAATACCTTGTGAACATATAGAGATAAGGCAAGCTCATGTTGGTTCATTTTGCCCAACAAAAGTGCACGCTCTTCAAATAATGCATCTGCTGGAAGACATTTCAACAAAGACTCTGGGTTATACCCTGAGATGCTCTCCAAAGCAGACAATAACTTCTTCCGCGATGGCGAATAAGCCTTTTCATCCCATTTTTCTTGAGCATTCAACTCTGCATGCCAATCAAGCACTTCCAAGAGATAGATTTGCACCTGTAACACATAAAATTGGCAAGTAAATACGACTAATGATCGTAAAATTAGCAGCATCACTGCTAGTACCCATCCTAAGAACATGGGGCTGGCAGCACTATCTGTTTTGCCAAGTCAATTAGAATGAATAAGAAAAATGATATGACATAAATGCAAGACTTCACCATTTCATTTTGCAGGTTTCCAGAGATCCCATTTTCATCCATTGCAAGCATAAGTTCTAAATATCTGCCTTGCATGCTTGGAGCATGCTGCTTCAAATAAGAGTTGACCAAGTCTGCAGGAATATTCCCAGACAAAAGGAGCTCAATAGTTTGTGTGGGACAGCTTTCGAGAACAAGCATTGAAAACTCCAAGACAAGCATGGGATCAGTCCCGCACAAAGGCTGCATGTAGAAATCCATCAGAACTTATTCAGAATAGAACATGTAAAGGTTGTAGATTTAACTCATTCAGTGAAGTAATAATCTATTTAAAGAAAGTAACTACATAAAATTGCTTTCATGATATTCCAGCAACAAAACACCAAAACTACTTATGCTGTTACGAATGGTTAAAAGCACAAAAAAATAGTGATATTAATATGTTAAGACACAGAAATATTTAAGACCAGGAGAGAATTTTTTGTGAAAACCTAGATGCCAGGGAACAGTTTTAGTGGATACATAAAGTCGAATTAGTTGTCAAACCCATGTGAAAGAATATGCTGGCACAATAAAATGAGAAAAAACATGGTGTCTAATAAGTTTGGCAGCCATATATATAATTTTACATATATATAATTTTACATATCAGTGCCACAAAATACCATATTTTGTCAAATTCTTTTATGCAGTTGATCCAATCTTATGTTTCCATGCTATTTTCTAGTTTCACCAGTAAAACAAAAAAACAGCACCAAAGTTACAAACCAAATGAGAGATCCTACCTTGAGATATTCAATAATAGACTCAGGCTTGAACTTGGGGTTGAGCTCGGGCTGCAACTGGTTTGACTCCTCAACTAATTGATGCAGAAGTTTAAGAGCTTCACGGTGCATGCCATTGCATTTGTAGAGTTCTAGTAAAGCACTATAATGATTCCATTTCTGAAGAATCTCCTCACATATCTTTAGGTCACAGTAGTTAACACCCTTCAGTAATTCTAAGGCTGCTGAAATCTGCCCTGTAAGAAGAACAGCCTGAAGAAGAGCTGTGTCCAATATTGCAGCCATTTCCCTGGCACCTGAGTTAATGGCAATGTTACCACGACCCTGGGGTACCAAATACAATATGAGGTTATAAACTTAAAATCAGTAAGTAGCCATGGCACCAAGACTTGCTTTGACAAGTATATTGGTGAAAATAATAAATGTTGATTGGCATGAAAAGCCAAATAATAGACAACAGACAAACACCATCTGTTATGTAGGCATTTGATCTCTGTAAAACATCAAAGAGCATGCTCAAGGCTCTTGTGCCTCTCCTACTCAATCACCCAGCCCCCACCCATCCAAACACAGCTACGCGCATGCACACAAACAATTTTCATAGATTAGTTTCTCTATATGAAGGAGCCAGTAGTTAGTTCTCTGAAACAAAGGACTGATACATAACCCTTGTTTAAGGTTCATGTATGTGAACTTCATACCTATTTAGAACAGAATAACACCAAAATCACATAAAAATGAAGAAATAAAAGCCAGGTATTACCTTGCTGGATTTCTTAAATCTACTAGAGTCATAAGCTCCATAATTATCTCCGACAGCGTCTAAAACAACCTCGTCTGTTACCTCAGCAGTGGCCTTTTCAATTATGCTATATCTTCTTTTCTGCAAGTACTTGATTAAAGCCTTGAGAGTGTTATGGCTCATCTTCTTGGATTCAAGTGCTGAATGCTCATCAAAATCAGGTGAGGATTCCATATCATCAGACAACCCAGAGGAACCTCTTGAGAGATATGGAACATCTGGAGACATGTCAATTAGCTTCTCAGGTTCTGGAACCATAGATGTTTTGGGAAGAACAACAGATGGATATAAAGAAAGCACGTAGGTGATATCAACTTGGGATGCTAAAAACTGTTCCATAGCCTCCTCGTAGCTCCCATTATCAAAAAGATAATGAGCGTATCTGAAAGGCGATGACATTAGCTTATTCAAATAACATGTAAGACTAAAAGTGATACAACTAGCATTATTCTAATGCCTATTTTAAAAGCCTATGTGGAACATTCACCTTATGTGAATTGACCCCTCCTTAGCAGCTCGAAGGTTTGAATCTTCTGGTGGAAGCAGCTTGCACAAGGCCAAAGCTTCCTCAAAATTTCCAGATGCTGTCAATTGTACAATCTGCACCATAATACGGCCCTTAGTTCTGTGTCTGAAATACCACTTCCTTGTAATTTTTTAGGTTCTTATGTGAAGGTTACAGCAAAAGGCATAATTCAATTACAGACATGGCTATTGTGCAAAGAGAAATGTAATGCACATTTTGTTTGAAATCTTAAAAACAGTCAAATTGTGAACTCAATAGATGGGAAGGTGTGCCTTCCATGTCTTTACTAAAAGTAACTCAAAGATAGCAAATCAATAAACTTACAAACAGGAATAGGGAATACCTGTGCCCCAAGAGGAACAGGGAACAGCGCACAAACAGAATTGCTTAATGCAACAATTATTGCATTGTTGCTTTCAATAAGATGGCGAACATTTTGAAGAACAACAGCTTGTATCAATGAATATGGAACTCGGAGAGACCGGATCTGTAAACATTAATAGCAAATTCTAACCAAATGCACAGCCACATAGATAGAAACAAAAGGGAGGGTTTTCCCTTCTAATTTTGGGTGTGGCATATGGTTAAGGTACCTCAATCCGTCTTGGAAGCAGAGCAACTGCATAGGACTTCTGAATGACAACAACAGAAGGGGCCTCTGACCAACATAATTTCTCTGCTTGGAGATGCTTGCCATTTTGGTCCACAAAGACTCCAATGTTATCCTGCGGCAGCAACAAAAACAGAAGTTCCTAGCTTCATTCTTGTTGTGTGGGAAGAGAAGACAAATAAATAGCATAAGGGAGAATAGCCAATATGCTCTGGACATGCAAATTAAGAGTTATATCTGTAACTCTTGAGTAAAGACATTCCTTATGTTCAAGGTTATAAAAATCATCACATTTTTTCATACAATGAGATAGCAATGAAAACCTTCAACAGCCATTTAATATTTCTGTAAGGAATAATAATGCAACCTATGCAATTTTTAACCATTGTGATTACAGTATGCACAGGTGCTCTTGCAGCACATAGCTCATCATAGACTAAAGTCCATCCTCTGTCACATACCAAGTTTCCAAAGAAAGTGACATGTCATTGGTATCTTTTCTGAAAATACCACAACAATTATGTTCCAGTTTAAACAGTTCCTAAAAGTTGGCCTGGGAAGGAGATTAATGAAATGAAGCAGTCAAACCCCAAAACTAGCTATCTAACTTTGATCTTTTTCCTCCAGTGCTCAACATGAAAAGAATACTAATTTTTCAAATCAGGAGGGGTATCAAGTCACCAAAAAAGCACATAATTTACTAATTAATTAAGAAACTAAAAGGCAGAGATGAATTAAGTAAATAGTTCCTATTAACAAAGGCAAGCCAAATAAAACAATGTAAATGTCAGCAGCAGAGAGACAGAGTACCTTCCAAAGAAGAAGCTCCCTGGAAGGAAGAGATACCACTAATGGAGGAGCTAGTCTTCCAGAAGGAAAAACCTGACTCAGTGCACCATTTGTTGCATTCAATATCCAATATTCCTTTCTAATCCCCATACAAATGTTCTCACCACACCATGACATTGACCTCACTGTATCTGAAACTCCAAAATCTTTCACCTCCACAAATCCCCTTCCTCCTGAAAAATAAGCTCAAAATTTAGCTCCACCAAAAAAACAAACAAGAAAAAAAATATATTAAAAACCTGATTATCACAATATCAAATTCAAATGTAGTATCACAACTCTATTCGCAATCAAAATAACCTAATATTAAATTTATAATTTTGTTTTTCCAATCATTAATAACAAAGAAACATTTGTTCCAATCATTTTTAACACTATAATTAGCTCCACTAGAAAAAAAAATACTGATTTATCATAACAGAATATAATTTCAAAATGCATTTAATGATAAATTGTCCGATTACTTAATTAGAAATGAAAGAAACAAAGATAATCATGCAACTCCATTTGCAATCCAAATAACCTAATATCAACTTTAAACTATCGATTCAAGGCCTACTAGCACAAAGTAACATCAAAATAACTAATTATCACCTCGACATCAACAATCAAAATCAAAGTTGATAATGTCAATCACTCCACAATCTAAATAAAGATTCAAATCAACCACACCATTATCAAAACCTTAATTATCAAGTAACAATATAATCATCCAAAACAACACCGAGTTTTTAATTAATTATATTAACTCCAAGAATTACTAAATTCTCCTAGTTTCCATTGCTTTCACTAACATTTACCACTACAATCCTCGAAAATAACCAAAAAAACGCTAACTTCTAGATTCCTCTCATTTTTATCGCTTTCGTTATTATTTATAACAAGATAAAATCAATTCAAATCAATTAGTTAACAAAACAAAAATACACCAGATTTTGAACTAATTACCGTCATGTCTAAAAATACAGACTCTCTTTTGCCTGGCGAAGCACAAAAACCCTCGCTTATCATCCCAATCAAACACATTAGCACCTTTAGCTTTAGTAAGCACCGCTACAGTCTCCAAATTAGGCAATCTATGAAACGCGATAGACTCAGAGAGCGATAGAAGCAGTTCCCTTGAAGCCAATACTTTCATTGACAGAATCGGCTTTTTAGAGAATCCGTTTACGGTTCTCTCCAGTGCGTACGGTTCCTTTCGAAGTTGATCACCGTGGTTATGGTAATCAAGCGGTGGAGATTTGTCGGAGATTGTGGATTCTGGAGCGTAGATTCTGAGAGCTCCATCGGAGCAAGCAACCAGAAGTTTTGAACCGTAGGATTCGATTGCGTCAATTTTGTCAGGGGAATTTGTGAGGAGCTCAAAGGAATCGTAGGCATTGTGCACCATTATTAGTTTCAGCTTTTGATCGTTTCACAAAATACAGAGAAGAATTTCATAGGTAGATCGGTTAATTACAAATTAATCCCCTGTCTTATTTTTTTTTATTTGGTATTAACTTTGCAGATTAATTTAATTTTTTATTTAAAAATTTTATTATTATATCTGGTTAAAAATAACTTTTAACTTTATTATAAAATTAAGTCAAAATCTGATTTAATCAAAAATTAATTTTTCTAATTTTTGACTTATAAAATTACTTTTTCTTAAAAAAACAATTGTTTTGAATCATTTTTATCAAACATATTTTTAACTTAAAGCCACTTTTAACATAAGTTATTTTTTAAATATGATTCAAAATCAAAGTCATTTTTTTAATTCATATCAAACAAAAAAAACCAAACTAGAAAAGGTTTTTTTTAAAATTTATATCTATTTTTAAATGTTATGCTCGATTAATTTAAAAAATATAGTGTGTTGATTAGTCAACTGTTATAAAAAATATATATAATCTTTCATAGTCTAATTATATTTATATATGGATTTAATTAGCATAGACTTTCCTTCTCATGGTTTTCTTTTTAAGATAAATTATAATCATTTTTTGAAAAGAGTTTCTTTTCATGAAAAGAATATGTAAATGGAATTGATTATCTATAATCAAATTACTTAATAAATAAATTATATGATTTTTTTTTAATTATATCAATAATTAAGGTTAAACAAATATCATTCTAATAATAACTAATAAGTTTGGCATGACAACTAAAAATATTTATATATCAAGTAGCTAAATGGATTGATTTAGAAATCAAGTTAAAAGGTAGAACTTATAAACATAGAAGATGGTTCAAGACTTTATATTTTATCCATCTGGATAGTCTAGCCTATCTTATAATTCTCACCTAAAAAAGAAAACAACAACTAATTATAGGCTATATAATTTTAAGTACGTTCTTGTTTTTTAAAAGTATTTATCTTTTCTATAAAAACAAAGACTTGAAAAGTCAAAGTCACTTATTCTTTTATTTCTCTTTAAATTGAGATTGAAAAAGTTACAAGGCTTGAAGCAAACCTCATTGAATTTGAGTTTTTTAATTATAGATAAATGAGTTGTAAAATTGAAAGAAAAGAGATGCACTAAAAGCTCATATACATTTACAAAACAAGTATCTTGTAAAATTTGAAGAACCTCTCATGTTTAAGTTAGTTAAGTTATATAAAAAATATAGTTATAAAAGAAATAAGTCATATGTATCAATAAAGATGATAAATGTTGGTGTTATGAGAAAAAAATGAAGTAATGCATGTGTACATGTTTGAAATGGATGAAATAACTCTTACCTGGTGTAAATAGGTGTTTTTATACTAATAAAAAACATCAACTTACATGGAGAATTAGTATATATGAAAATTATCATAATCCTTAATGGTTGGTAATTACACTATTAGTAAAGAAAGGATAATTTTAGATGAGCAATACTCTAATTAAAATATTTTATAGTTCATATAAGTTTGGCTAAATAAAATACCTTGAAAGTTATGCTAATCAGGCTAATTAAACACCAAAAAGACTATACTTTTTTTAAAGAATGAATCAAAATAAAGAAGTGAATCCTATTTTAACATAGTATTCTCTTATAAAACTAATATATTGTCAGGTTTTGGGTTGATGATCTTAATGAATTTTACCTTACATTTCATATAAAGTCTAATGATGAATAAGATAAATCTAAGTTCAATTATGAGCTCAACCATGGATCTATTATTGGTGGGCCTAGTTTGGGCCTTAAAATAAAGATGTTAATCCTAAGACAACTAATAATCATCACAAGTATTTATATTCAAGATAACAAAGACTTTATCATGCATGTAGGTTAATCTCAAGCATGAATATCTAATAAATAAGCTATTATTATAGATTATATAGAGATGTCTAAATACCAGCAAGTCAGCACATGACAAGAATATAAAAAATTAAAAGGTTGTCATATGGGACATGTGGTTGGAGATAACAGGACATCTTTAATGGTATATGTGTATATATGTGTATGGATAAGGCTAAGAACTATTCTTATTCTGTCACTTTTAAAAAAATAGACTAGCTTTTGTTCTCTCTATTCTCTATAATTTTAAGCAAATGCTAATGCCAGGAAGTTATAAACTAGTCATTAAATCACACTAAAAATTTATAAAACCTTTTTTAAATATCATAAAACTAGTTATGTTTTCTATATTTTATTATAAAGCAGTTTAGGTATGATTTTGGAATGAAAAGCCAACACTAAAAAAAAATTTGTTTAAGGTTCTCTCTCCCAAAACTTAATGATTTTTTAAATCATTATACATATTTTTATGATATCCATTAAATTTGAAGCGATCTTAAGTGAAGATGCACTAGACATCCTTGAATCAAAAAAAGGAAACCAACCTTAAGAGTGGTAAGAGGATGCTTTGTAGAAACTAGTGAACTCTCTAAAATAATTAGACAACCTAGAGATTGGTTAAATGATACATGCCCTGAAAACTAGATATGAAAACGTTCTTTTTTAAATATATATATATATATATATATAAGGTATATATATTATGAGACTAATCCTGCTAAAGGCATGGAAGTTATTATGCAACAAGTTATGATAGTTCATAGATAATTACAACATTAACTAATTAACAAAAAAGAACATCTTAAAAGGCAATATAGTTATTAGAAAACCTTACTTTATTTGTATGTTCATATCTTTGTAATTGTTTCCTACATATTTTATATTATTTGTTAGTATAGGTGGACTCGAACCCAAGAAGCAACAAAAAAAAAAATCCAGCTCTCCACATTGAGGGATTTTACATCATCTAAACAATCAAGTTCATGGTTTATAGAAAAACTAGTTGCTCATCTTTAGGTCGAATGACTTTGCATGCATCGCCAAAAAATTGTAGGTTTTCTAACATATTGGTGAGTGTTTGACACACGCCAACTATTCTTAACTCCTTAAGTCAATTTGCCCTGCATGCACGTATGGGAACCCTTTAATTAATTCTAAAATTACATCTCACATTAGTTGAGACTTTTTTTCTTAATATAATCTCTAATTATTTAATAACTCTTCAATTTAGACTCATTTAATCCAATCCAAGCCAAGTGCAAAGGAAATCATGGAGAGAATAAGGATAGAAAAAAGAAAAATGATATACAAGTTAATGCATTTTGATTATGCTTATTATCTAGATCATAATTTTTTATTTTAATTTTAGTTGAGATTATAAGATAGTTTGCTTTGTATTTACCTTAAAATTATTAAAAAAAAGTATCATACTAATTTTTTTTAATAGTTGACGAGTGTTTTAATTGATTATATAAATTATTTTGTCTCTTCAAATCAATTTTAGTCATATCAAATCAATTTCTACATCATCAATTTTTTTATGTTCAAGAAAACTATGTTACGTGAGATTTTAGACAATTGAATTTGCTTTTACTTATATCAGGTTGGTTTTGACTAAATTTCATTTGTACATTCTTCCAAGTTTTTACTAAACTAGCAAGAACAGTACTGATATCTCTATCTCAAAACCACAATGGAGCGCTGATAATAAAACTAGTAAAATTGTATGCTGTGATGGTAGCAGCACCCTCCAATCTAGTTCGATGCTACAGTCAAATTCTGCACCCTCGATGCTGCCTGCTTTCGAAGTGGTGGTCATATCTATCAAGAAAACAAATCCTAAGGAAAAAGTAGAATGATGAAAGATGATACAGTTCAACAATATTATTGCTTCTTTCTAGTTAGAACAATGAGGTTAGGGAACACGAGTAATAGGACAGCATACAAATGAGGAAGAAGCAGTGGTGACTATTGTTTTTAATAGTTAGAAGTAACCATTAGCATAACAACATAATGCTTATTCACCTCGATGTTTTTTCAAGTTCCATTATGAGATTTGATAATGAAGTATCAGTTAATTTAGTCCAGGCTAAACTGTCCATGTCTCTGTTCTCTTGCCTACGAGTCCAAGCATCAGCCAGACTTAGCTAGCCGGCAGTGCAAGAGGGGTTGGCTCTGGCGCCACCTGTGCCCCTGAGTGACTGTTAGCAATGTGGATTGGTTTTTCATCTAATCCCCAGAACTTGGCTGTTTTTACATCATCCTGGGCCATTAGTCGTGAGAACTCTTCATGGTCGTACGTCAGTGTGGCTTTTCCCCCGAACTCGTTTGGGAGGTTGTCAACATCAAAGAAAGACTTCATGAGCTCGAAACTATCTTCTTTTTTTGGGTAAACAAACTTCACCTTCTGGATAGTAATTGGATCCAGGAAGAACTTGACAACCTATACAAATGAAGTAAAACAAGGTTCGTCATTCCAAACATGAAGGGGTAAAACATTTCAAGCAATATAAATGTAGCAGTTATGCGCATAATACAACAGAAAAGGATCTATTCTATGATAAATTTTCAAATCCACCAAGGAGATATATCTAGAACACATATACCAGTTCTAAAGGGAGAACATGCACATTATAAGATTTCACCTGGGGGAGTTTCTATCACTAAACCTAATAACAGGGCAGACCTTCCCACCCTCTCCCATCTAATCTGAATGGAGAAGAGGATAAGAGCAAAAATAAGGTGATAGAAATAACTGACAGAAGAAGACACGATCTAGAGCACCATACTTGGTCCTCAACACATTTTGAGTTGCCTAGATTATTTTGGTAAAAGAGGGATATCATGCAAAGTACTTTAGTGAGAAGCAAATAAGATAGTACATACTTTCCAATACATTTTATTATGTTCACTTAAGTTCTACCAATCCATTAATTGTATGCAAGTTGAGCTACTATGACCGCGGGTTCTCTGAAACATAAGGTATTAGTTATGGAAGAATTCCAAATTTTAACCTTCCAAAGCCCCATGGTATATTTTATACCAAGTAACAATCAAAATGCAATCAAAAAATAATTTGCCATAAGATCAGTGAGTGTTAGGCTAATCCAAAAATCAAATGGGCTGCAATGGACATTAGGAAGAAGCATGCACCTTCCAAAATGCTTCAAATATTCTAGGCGGATTA